TGGTTCAGAATAACTCACTCCAGTGTTTGTTCTTCATGTTCTTCAGCTGAAGGTTCGACTGTGTTTGAGTCTGCGTGAGAAGATGACAGGAAGTGAGTTTGTGTGGGTGAACAGGTCCTGTTCCTCTGGGTCCATCGAAGAGCAGGAATGTCTCAGGTGATATCAGTGAAAGAACACAGACAGGTGAACACAGACAGGTGAACACAGACAGGTGTGTGAGCACAGACAGGTGAACACAGACAGGTGAGCACAGACAGGTGAGAACAGACAGGTGAGCACAGACAGGTGAGAACAGACAGGTGAGCACAGACAGGTGAGCACAGACAGGTGAGCACAGACAGGTGAGCACAGACAGGTGAACACAGACAGGTGTGCCCTGAGGCGGCTGAAGTTATGTCATCATGGAAGTGTCGTAACTTCACTGACAATCGCAGGTCATGTGACTGAAAGGAAACACTCTTGTTTTTATTGGCTGTCAGTGTGTGTGTGTGTGTGTGTGTGTGTGTGTGTGTGTGTTTGTGTGTGTGTGTAACATTCATGTAAATTCAGCTGCTCTGTCTTCCCTCCTCTGAATGTTCCTGAAATAAAACCCACTCAGAGTTTGTTGTTACTCTGTCCCTCTGTGTGTATTCTCTGTGTGTGTACTGTGTGTGTTGTGTGTACTGTGTGTGTTGTGTGTGTCCGTGTGTCGTCCTTAAACCCCGCTCACAAACAGAGCTTCATTAAATCAGAGTTCAGCTCAGTGCAGCTCCTTACGTCAGCACAACAAAATCTCAGCCGGCACAGATTAGGAGGCCGCTGCCAGCTTCATCACTTCATCGCCGCACACACACACACACACACACACACGCGACATCTATGGTATAAATCTGAACATCTAGTGTAATCTGAGCCTGCTGCCTTCAGGAGCGTGGGAAATCTGGACTGTAGTTCTTGTTTTCCTCTTTAACTCTTTCACTCCTGTCTGATTTATTCACAACAACACAAACCGACTCTGACACACAAACTGAACAAACATCAGTTATTACTGCACACCCTCGAACCTCCGACCCTCCGACCCTCCCTCTTTATTATTGGATCTTTGTGTTCTGCTCTCCTCCTCTCTCTCTGCCCCTCCTCTCCTGTACTTTCTTCATTTGTCTTATTTTCTATTTCTGAGTTTCCTGCTCTCTCTCTCTCTCTCTCTCCCTCTCTCTCTCTCTCTCTCTCTCTCTCTCTCTCTCTCTCTCTCTCTCTCTCTCTCTCTCTCTCTCTCTCGTCCTCCTCCACGTGCACGCTCACTCCTCTTCCAGCTAAAGTCACATTTCTCCTCCAGGGTCTGAATGTCTCACTGCGTCTCTAATCACCGAACACAAACAGCTGATGATGGACGAGCGTTTCTGAAATATTTCACAGAGTCTGTAGAAACCCACTGGGAACAGTTTCACAGTCCTCCACCTACCTGCCCGTGACTGAGTTGGTCTAACGTCTCCCTCTGCCGTCTGTAGAAATAGAGTTCATAGATCAGACACTTTAATTAGACAGAGAGGGAGGCAGCAGTCTGGAGCTCAGTGATGGATGAGAGGGAGGAGGAGGAGGAGGAGGAGGTGGAGGAGGAGGAGGAGGAGGAGGAGGCTCCGCTGTCAGCCTCTACACCTATCAGACACCCCCCCTGGGTGGTCCAGGTCCGGGGTGGCTGTAGAGATGAGTGGGGGTCTGTGAGGGGGTTGTGGGTGTCTGTGGAGGACCTGAATAAAGAGAGTTTTTCCTGTTGGACTCAGTGAACTCTGTGACAGAGTTACACAGAGAGAGTTTTTTACACTCTAATGTTCTGACTTTTATTTTGAAGGAGCCCGTCTGTCATCATGATTGACAGCTCGTCAACAGTCACCGAGTCACATGACTCATGATGTCATGTTTTTATCTTTTTCAGCTGTTTCGAGAGGTACGCATCATGAAGACTCTGAACCACCCCAACATCGGTGAGTGTGACCCCGACCTTCACCTGTGTGTGTGTGCGTGCATGCGTGTGTGTGTGCGCGTGCATGTGCTCACCTCTCCTCCTCTGTTGTGTGTTTCAGTCCAATTGTTTGAGGTGATTGAGACGGAGAAGACTCTCTACCTGATCATGGAGTACGCCAGCGGAGGTGAGTGAGCCGATCAAAGGATCTGATTGAGGATTGATCAGTTTCATTGTTGATCAGTGTGACCTGTTTGATCATTATTGGACCTCAGAAATAAGTGACCTTTGACCTCTGAAGTCCTCACGCTCTGTTTTTGTCTCTCAGGCGAAGTCTTCGACTACCTCGTGGCTCACGGCAGAATGAAGGAGAAGGAGGCCAGAGCCAAGTTCAGACAGGTGAGTCCGACCTCATACCTGAGCTCACCTGACACAGGAAACAGCTGTCTCATTATAATCAATAATCTATAATCAAAACAAAGTCTGATGGAAACCTGAAAAAAAGAGGGTCAGAGAAAGACCGGACTCACTGATAAACATCATCCTACTTCAGTGGACTGTAGACATGACTCAGCATCTGCAAACATGACTCAGCATCTGTAAACATGAGTCAGCATCTGTAAACTGTAAACATGAGTCAGTCTGTAAACTGTAAACATGACTCAGCATCTGCAAACATGACTCAGCATCTGTAAACTGTAAACATGACTCAGCATCTGCAAACATGACTCAGCATCTGTAAACATGACTCAGCATCTGTAAACATGACTCAGCATCTGTTAACTGTAAACATGACTCAGCATCTGTAAACTGTAAACATGACTCAGCATCTGTAAACTGTAAACATGAGTCAGCATCTGTAAATATGACTCAGCATCTGTAAACGGTTACATTCAGCACATGTAAACATGACCTACTGCGTCAGCCTCTCATGGCGTGAAGAAAACTCGCTCCTGTTCACGTGTCGGTACAAACAGGAAGTGCGTGTGTGTTTGACGTCTTCTCTCTTCCTCTCGTAGATCGTCTCCGCCGTTCACTACTGCCATCAGAAGAACATCGTCCACAGAGACTTGAAGGTGAGCTTCATCATCTCAAACTCTGTTGAGAGAACATGTGACCTCCATGAGGTCATGGATGTCTGCGGTCACATGTCCTCTCAGGTATCCTCAGAACCTCTTCTGTCAGAACCTCACTCTCCGTTCTTCTCTCCTGTAGGCGGAGAACTTGCTCCTGGACGCCGACTCCAACATCAAGATCGCAGACTTTGGCTTCAGTAACGAGTTTTCAGCAGGAAGTAAACTGGACACGTTCTGCGGCTCCCCGCCGTACGCGGCGCCCGAGCTCTTCCAGGGGAAGAAGTACGACGGTCCAGAGGTGGACATCTGGAGTCTGGGGGTCATCTTGTACACGTTGGTCAGTGGGTCTCTGCCCTTCGATGGACAGAACCTAAAGGTGAGAGAAGGCGGTACCAGACTTGGTTCTGACCCACTCGTAGAAGGTCATCGTCACAGATGAGATAAAGGAGCGTTTGGGGTTTTTGGGTATTCGGGTCTGACCCAGATCAATGTGGTTCTGTTCAGGAGCTGCGGGAGCGGGTCCTCAGGGGGAAATACCGAGTCCCCTTCTACATGTCCACGGACTGTGAGGGAATCCTGCGCCGCTTCCTGGTCCTGAACCCCGCCAAACGCTGCTCACTGGAGGTGAGGAGGAACCATGACTCAGCATTTATGATTGACCACAGCTCTAAAACCTCAGACGGGCTTCAGGGTCCGGACTCTGATGTTCTGGTTCTGAAGACTTCTGTCCTCTTTCTGTCCCCTGTCAGCAAATCATGAGGGACAAGTGGATCAACGTGGGCTTCGACAGCGAGGAGCTGAAGCCCCACATAGAGCCGGAGGAGGACTTCAACGACACCGGACGCATCGGTGAGAGAGGAGACACACACACGCACGCACACACAGACACACACACACACACACACACACCTGTAGTCCTGGTGAACTCGTGTTTCTGATGACGTGTGTGTGTGTGTGTGTGTGTTTCTCCAGACGTGATGGTGGGGATGGGCTTCACCAGAGAGGAGGTCAAAGACTCGCTGGTCAGTCATAAATATAACGAGGTCACCGCCACCTACCTGCTGCTGGGACGCAAAAACGAGGTGAGAGGATCCGATCAGCTGTTTCCTGTTTTCACTCTTTTCACGACGACCACGAAACTCTCCAGCTAAACCGTCAAACTGTGACGTGTTTCTAAAAGTGTTAAAATCAAAACTCTGAATAAAAACACTGAAATTCATCGTCCATCATGTGTCGGTAAATTTGTAGATAAATGAAATAAATCCCCTTCATACTTTGAAAAGTCAGAGAACCATCATTTTGACCAGGTGGTGGCGCTCTCTGTGGCCCAAAATGTCTCACCGTTCTGAGCAGGAGCTCTGGAGCCTCCTGCTAGCTAACCTGTCACAGTTTTTATTTGCACTTGCGCAGCACGGTACTCCTGCAGTCCTCCTCTGATTGGCTGTGAGTTGAAATGCTGTCACCTCTGATTGGTTTTAAAACCCGTCAATCTCAGATCAGTGACCGACTTTTTCACCAAAGAATTCAGCGACTCGATTTGAAGCTGTAGGAAGAACAAAACCTGTGACTCGTGGAGAAGTTTCCAGCGGTTGTGATTATCAGTTTGTGTTTTAAAACAACACGACAGTTTTCCTGAAAGCTTCTTGCCCATAAATGAAAGTTCACATAAAGATCTGAACATTTTCACATTTGTCCACAACTTCACATTCACAGAGTTTGAGTCGGTGAGTTGTAAACAGGATTTGTGCTCCTGTCATTAAGAACGTGTGAGTGTGTAAATGTTGTTGTACTAATACACAATCACTGTACACAACTACACATGACATGTTACAGACGCACAAACCTTTAACACCAAAAATACCTTCAGAGTTCCTGGACTAACTTCGTCCCGGTTCTGCCTCTGATCGGATCCCTGACCCGGGACCTGTTGTGTTCTTGTCTCTCAGACTGACAGCAGTGAGTCCAGGACCGGCAGCAGTCTTAGTCTGGCTCGGGTCAGACCCAGTACCATGACCAATGGGACCAGTAAACACACCACCTCCTCCTCTGGTGCTTCTTCTGCGTCCGCCGGTCACAAGACTCAGCGCAGCGCCTCCACCTACCACCGCCAGAGACGCCACTCCGACTTCTGTGAGGATGACCTCTGACCTCTGACCCGGCGCCTTCTGTCATTGGTCTGATCCGATGTTGACCAAAGTCTTCTGTGTCTCTCAGGTGGTCCAGCAGCTCCAGGGTCTACGCATCCAAAGAGGAGTCCCAGTGGTACGGCTGAAGGGGCGGGGCTTAAGGAGGAGCGGCTGTCAATCCGAAAACCGAGCACGAGTACCGTGGGCTCCCGTAGCATCCCGACGCCCTCCAGTCCGATGGTCAGCTCCGCCCACAACCCGAACAAAGCCGAGATACCGGACCGACGCAAGGAGGCCGCCTCCACCACGGTAAAGACCACCAGAGGGCGCTCCTCAGCACCGACCCAGAACTTCAGCCGCTAATCCCATTCCCTCAGATTACAGAGGTCCTGAAGCTGGTCTGACAGATCTGAGGAGGTCCGCAAACATCAGACCTCCTCAGATTACAGAGCCGGGTCACCAGCAGGGACCAAGATCCAGACCGGGGTAGAGAGAGAAGGTCCAGATGAACCTGCTGCTCAGATTAACTCCTTAGTGTCCAGATTAACTCTTCAGATTAACTCTTCAGGGTTCAGATTAACTCCTGACAGTCTGAGGTCCAACACTCCAGATAAGGGGGGCGGGGAAGGTCTGCAGGTCTTCAGTGGAACCTCTTTGGAGTCCAGTTTCACAGTAGAGATGGTTCATGGACCTGCAGACCCTTCCTGGATCTGAACCCGCCCACTGATCCAGATTATGGACAGGAAGTCCTCTCAGTAAATCCTGTTTCTGATTCTTCTTCAGAACAATATTCCTGCGAGCGCCATGACCCGGAGGAACACGTACGTGTGCACGGACCGGGCCAACGCAGAGAGACACACGCTGCTGCAGAACGGCAAAGAAAACAGGTGAGAGGTGAACGAATGAGGGGAGGAGTGACGGGGAAAGGGAGGAGAGGAGGAGGAGGATGGGATGAAAAAAAGGAGGGAGGGAGGTCAGCAGGAGAACAGCAGGAGAACTGTGGTGACTGAAGAGGAGGAGCAGAACCTGTTTGACAAATGAAACTCTCAGAGTCTCACTTCACTCTTTCTTTTTCTCCTCTCAGGTTTTCACAGATTCATCCTTTCATTTTCCTCTTTCATCTCTGCTCAACGTTTTTCAGTTTTTCTTTTCTCCACGAGCTCCTCCCTCCTCCTCTCCCTCTCCTCCTCTCCTCCCCTCCTCTCCCTCTCTCCCTCTCCTCTCCCTTTCTCCCTTTCTCCCTCTCTCCCTCTCCTCCTCTCCTCCCCTCCTCTCCCTCTCTCCCTCTCCTCTCCCTTTCTCCCTCTCTCCCTCTCTCCCTCTCCTCCTCTCCTCCCCTCCTCTCCCTCTCTCCCTCTCCTCTCCCTTTCTCCCTCTCTCCCTCTCCTCCCCTCCTCTCCCTCTCCCTCCTCTCCTCTCCCTCTCCTCCTCTCTCTCCCTCTCTCCCTTCTCTCCCTCTCTCCCTCTCCTCCTCTTCTCTCCTCCTCCTCTCCCTCCTCTCCTCTCCCTCTCCTCCTCTCTCTCCCTCCTCTTCTCTCCCTCCTCCTCTCCCTCTTCTCTCCCTCTCTCCCTCTCCTCCTCCTCCCCCCTCTCCCTGCAGTCAGCAGCTTCTCCTCCTCCTTGTTAAATGTTTTGCTCCTCAGCTGAACCTCCTCCTGGTTCTGTCCCACTTGAGCTCAGTGTCGGTGTGATATAGAGCGTTAAGAGAAGCCGCCCCGGGCCCCCAGACAGACAGACAGACTGTGTGTGTGTGTGTGTGTGTGTGTGTGTGTGTGTGTGTGTGTGTGTGTGTGTGTGTGTGTGTGACAAAGCAGGGAGCTGAATGAGAGGAGCAGTCGGGGGGGCAGAGAGGAAGATCTGACTGAGAGTCTGAGAGTCTCAGTCCGTTTGGTTCTGATCCGGTTATCTTTGATTATTTCTGATGTTTCTGTCGTTGAGGCGACCCTGAGGAAAAACTGTGTCTGTAGCTTTAAATGGACTTGAAGAGTCCTCGACCCGGAGTCCTCGACCCGGAGTCCTCGACCCGGATCACAAAATCACAAAACACCGTTTTCTAAACATGTGAACTAAGAAACTGCAGGAGAACGAGGAGAAGCTCGAGTGAAATATATGAGCATGATGATCAAAAATACACCTGGACATCTGAGTTAGATTTACCCAGACCTCCTCAGAACTCCTCAGATCTCCTCTGGTCTCCTCAGACCTCCTCAGACCTTTTCTGGTCTCCTCAGACCTCCTCAGACCTCCTCAGATCTCCTCAGACCTCCTCAGATCTCCTCAGATCTCCTCTGGTCTCCTCAGGTCTCCTCAGACCTCCTTAGACCTCCTCAGACCTCCTTAGACCTCCTCAGATCTCCTCTGGTCTCCTCAGGTCTCCTCAGACCTCCTCAGATCTACTCAGACCTCCTCAGATCTCCTCAGACCTCCTCTGACCTCCTCTGGTCTCCTCAGATCTCCTCAGGTCTCCTCAGACCTCCTCAGACCTCCTTAGACCTCCTCAGACCTCCTCAGATCTCCTCAGACCTCCTCTGGTCTCCTCAGGTCTCCTCAGATCTCCTCAGATCTCCTCAGACCTCCTCAGACCTCCTCAGACCTCCTCTCAGTGATCTGTGGTCATGGTTTTTCAGGGTTCAGGTCCTGGTCTCTGTCTCCACCTCACAGTCCTGATGATCTCTCTTCTTCTCTCTCTCTCTCTCTCTTTTAGTACCTTATCCCACCGCCTCCCCCCCGCCTCCCCCTCCACCCACAGTATCGGCGGTGCCTCCGGCGTGTCCTCCTCGTCCTCCACGCCCTCCTCCCGCCTCTCCAGGGGGACCACAGTAAGGAGCACTTTCCACGGAGGGCAGATTCGGGACCGCCGGCCTCCCTCCCACGCCCCCCCAGCCTCCCCAACACTGTCACATGACTCCAGCCCGCTGCCTCACGCACGGACTCGGGCCACGACCAACCTGCTCAGCAAAATCACCTCCAAGCTGACCCGCAGGTAAGGGGAGGAGCTGGGAGGAGGACTTGGTGACTGTAGAGGATGAGTTTGACTGTAGATGAGTGACCATGACCAGAGGAGACGATTGTGTTTGAGACTCCAAATGTGCCGACGGCGTTCGTTCCTGACTGCCTGCTGACACACACACACACACACACACACACACACACACACACACACACACACACACACACACACACACACACAGCTGTATGTTTGTTGGCTTGTAACAGAAATAAACCTGGACTTGAAGATCACTGAGCTAACCCTGCTGCCTCTCACTGTCTCTTCCTTAACCAGCACTAACCGACCTGCCTTCCTTCCTCCTCTAACCACCATCTTTACAGGCTCTGGAGGTGGTCCCCCGTCCTCTCAGACCTGGGTCTAATGGTGTCTGAACTCGCCTGAAAAAGCTCCAGTCTCACAGTTTCTCCTCTCTGACGATGTCCCGTTAAAAAGTCCATCAGTTAATTCAGAGTTGGAGGTCTAACAGGAAACGAGACGACAGCAGCTCAGATCGACTTAAATTTAATCTGTTATTTAGAGATTTGGGGTCAAAGGGGAACAATAAACAGTCACAGTGAAAGGTCAAAGGTCAGGGACAAAAAAATAAGATTATTTTTATATTTGTAGGAGCATCTCCAGACCAAACACACGGACCTCCAGCTGTTAGAGGGTGGAACCAGCAGACGGAGATGCTGCTGAGTAGGGCTGAGCGATAAAACGATGACGATGTTTTGGTTTTGGTCGACGATATGAGCAGCCAATGAAAAGGAGAGTTACTCGGTCTGAACCAATCATGTTCTGAATTAGAACCAAGTAACAAACAGCTGTGTGGTAGCAGACAGCAGCTACACCCAACCATCGCACTTTAACAGGTGAAGCCTTACGACAAAACGTCAAAGAGACACAAAGACCTCACAGACACAGGAGATCATTGTAGACATGTGACCGATAATCACTGTTACATTAAATCCTGATATTTATCGATATCGACTGATATGATAAAATATATATCACATATTTTCCGTATCGCTCAGCCCTACAGCAGAGTCTCTGAGTCTAAAATAATCAAATACTGAATCATCAAACTCTCTAACAGGTGAGTCCGTCAGTGTGAAGGTTTCCTGATCCTCTCATTTAGAGAAAGTCAACAAACAGAAACTGATAATTAAAGGGATGGATTTAAAGGGATGAGGTTATTTTCTGTCACTGATGTTAAACTCTCTAAAACCTGAGATGATGGAGGTTAAAGATCTAAGAGGAACCATGTGGACCTTCAGGCTCAGGTGCTCATATTAGACCCAGGTCTGACGCTGGGCTGGACATGCTGTATCTCTCTGTCTCTCTCTCTCCCTCTCTCTCTCTCTCTCTCTCTCTCTCTCTCTCTGCTGCTTATCGTTGCTTCTTTATCTGTTTGTTGGTTTGTTTATTCTCCTCTCTGGCTCCTCCCTGCCCGTCTCCTGCCTCTCTTCTATCATTCTTCTTCTTCTATCCTTTCTTCTGCCCTTTATTCCCCTTCAACCCCACTTTGTTCACTCTTAAGTCCCCTTGATTTCCCCTTTATTATTCCGCTTTTATTCCAATTCATTCCCTCTGTAATCCCCATTATTCCCCTTTAGTCCCCTTTATTATTCCCCTTTTTTCGACCTTTATTTCCCTCTTTATTCCACTTTGTATTCCAATTTATTCCCCTTTATTCTCTCTACATTCTCCTTTATTCCCCTTTATTTCCTGCTTTTATTCCCCTTTTATTCCACCTTTATAACCCCTTTATACCCTCTATATTCCCCTTTATTCCCCTTTCATTCCAATTTATTCCTTCTTTATTCCCTTCTTCTTCCCTTTCTTCTTCTTCTTCTTCTTCTTCTTCTTCTTGTTTCTTCTTCTTCTTCTTCCCTTTCTTCTTCTTCTTCTTCTTCTTCTTCCAGAACTACAGAACATGATGTTTGATTTGTTCTTCTTCTCTGCCTCAGCTTCTTCCTCCTGTCATCTCTGTGCGCTCTCTCTCTTTCTGGTGTCTGATGTCTCTCTCTCTCTCCCTCTCTCTCTCTCTCTCTCTCTCTCTCTCTGACCGTCTGCTCTCGATGTTCCTTTATTTTCCATCCTCTCATCATCCTCTCTTCACCTCCTTTTCTTCTTCTTCCTCTCTCTCTTCCTAGGGTCACTCTTGACCCTTCTAAACGTCAGAGCTCAAACAAGTCCATGTCGGGCTGCACCCTCCCACAGGGAACAAAAACAGTTAGTAAGTCTTCCTTTCCCATCTTCTCTGGCTGCTTCTGTCTGTCTGTCCGTCCGTCCGTCTGTCTGCCTGACTGTCTGCCTGCTCGCTGTCATCCCCTCCCCTCGCCGTCATGCTGTCTGCTGCAGGATGGAGTTTAGTTAAACAAACATGGAGTCTGGAGCAGAGCTGGTCTGCAGGTTTGGACCTCAGACCTCATCAGAAATCCTTCTGAGGGTTTTTCTCATCGAGAAAAGAAAAGAGAACTTTATTTTCTGAACCGAGCTTCTCTGTCGTCGTCTCTCCAAACTTTGAAGATTAGAGGAAATAAACCGACGTCTCAGGTCCGTGTTTTCAGACGACAGAACCAGAAGGTTCTGCTGTCTGAAGTTTAAGAAATGAAATACTTGAAAAAAGATGAAGAGGGTCTTCAGGTCTCTGAAAACTAAACTTAAAACTGTCCCGCTAACAGAACCAAGATAAACTTTCTGACAGACTGCTGAAGGTCCGTCCGTTTATGACCTGAACCAGATCAGGACCAGCTACCATGACAACAGGAACCAGGTTCAGAAGAATTCTTCTGACACCGACTTCATGAAAAGAATCGGACCTCTGTTCAGTCTGTCAACTACAGACCTCCATCTTTCAGATGTGTGTGTGTGTGTGTGTGTGTGTGTGTGTGTGTGTGTGTGTGTGTGTGTGTGTGTGTGTGTGTGTGTGTGTGTGTGTGTGTGTGTGTGTGTGTCTGTGTGTGTATCTAATGTATTGAGTTCAGATATCGACTCTGAGGGTTATCATCATTATAATCAGTCAATAAATCGAGTCGTCGTGTTTAAAATTCTGATAACAGTCCCCGACAGACCAGGTCTGAGCGATTTGGCAAAAAGAAAAAAAGATCACGATTTATTCTGTCATATCGTCCGATCTCGATTATTATCACGATTTTTTTTTAACTGTCAGTTTTAAAGCATCTGTACCAAAAACTGAAGAAAGTAGAGATCAGTTCAACATTTTATTAACATACAAAGTAAATAAAATAAATATAGAAAAATATAAAAACCATTTTAACTCAACAGAACAACAAATATAAATAAATACTAAATAAAACAGTTTCATTAGTTTACAGCTCTGAGTGTTTCTGCAGGAATGATAGACCTAAAATAAACAGATGTCCCCTCAGAGATCATGAAGACGCTTTAAAATGTAAACATTAGATGATGTAAACGTAGATGAGACGATTGATTGCTCTGGTCTGGTGGCTGCACCACGTCAGCAGTGACAGGCTGTTCAGACTCCGCCCACATTGTCATGTTTTCCTCATAATCACGTCTTCAAATGATCAAACAGATCTGTTGTGTTGTTGGTTTTTGAGGGAACTGACCGCTGACATACCTTACACATCGGCTGAATTACTCAACGTCACTCAGGAAATACCACCGACACACAACCGACGATCAATAACGTTTCAACAATAACGTCTTCGAAGGGTGACTCAAAGTCATGACGTTTAACTCCATGTTCAGTCGTCCTGTTTACTTCCTGTTTACTTCTCCGGTAACGTACAGAAGTGAGCAGGAGAAGCTCGACTCTGATTGGCTGTTGTCACGCACATTTCCACCATATTTGATCGAGTAAATAAACTCACAGCTGATCACCGTGATCGGTCATATAATCACCCAGTCCACTTCAGACCATGCAACAGTGTAAACTGGAGTCCAAGAATCGAACCGAGGACCGACTGTAAGACTGGAGGAGAAACAGGAAGTGCTGCTGAGTGAGGTTTAACTCTTAAAGTCCAGCTTTAGGGTTCAGACTAACTCTGACTCACAGTCGACACACGGTCCATGTTTAACTCCTCAGGACAGACCTCCAGGTCCAAACTCAGGGTGACCCAGAATCTACTCGGACCAGAACCCTGAAACCCTGGACTGGTGAAGCGGTTCTTCCTCTAGAGCAGCTCTGGGTCCAAACGGTGTTTCTATGACTGAAACTCTCATCAGCTGCTGCCTGTGTGTGTGTGTGTGTGTGTGTGTGTGTGTGTGTGTGTGTGTGTGTGTGTGTGTGTGTGTGTGTGTGTGTGTGTGTGTGTGTGTGTGTGTGTGTGTGTGTGTGTGTGTGTGTGTGTGTGTGTGTGTCCCTGCTCTCTGCTGTCACTGCTGGCTGGGCTTTGTTCTGTACTCCCCCTAGAGGCTGTAGGTGGTACTGCTCAGTTGACTGTTGTTGTTTTCAGATTTAAAGGTTCAGTCAGTGTTTAGATGTTAGTGTGAATCAAACTGAAGCTCGTTCAGCAGAAACCCACCAACACACAAACTCCTGAACTCCCTGTTGCAGCTCCCCTGTACGAGCTGCAGTCATGTGATCAGCACCATATGTTTGTCCGTGTTGTTAAGAGTAATCAGGAGCAGAGGGGTCTGTTCAGGTGTTCTGGTCTGAACACAGATCACTGCTGTTAGGTCCGTATTTTCATTTCCAGACCTGGTCCTGGTTCTGATCCAAACAGAGCCAACATGGCCGCACAGTGATCAGATCACAGTGATCTAAACATCTAGAGGAGTTTTTTCACTTTGAGAGAGCAAAGGTGGGCGGGTCGAACCGGGTCAAAGAGGACTGAGGGGAGTGTTTTTATTTTCAGTGTGATGGAAACACAGACATGTTCAGGACATTTGAAACACTTAAAGGGATATTCTGCTGTAAAATTAATTTAGGGTCAAACCCACTGTAACACCGAGTTAGACCCCCCCTCCAGAGATGAATGTTGTCGACCGCTTCCTTCTCTAGTTATACCAACTTTAGTAACGACCGCAGGATAGAAATACAGAGAGCCACGCCCCCAACCAAAACGCCACTCTATAGTCGGGATTATCACCACATGTGAAACGGCTTCAGTCCAGAACGACGGTGACTTTTGCTGTACGTCAGTTCCTATCAGATCTGTGAATTTTATGGTGGATTACAGACAGCAGGAATCACAAGAACTCACGGATTTACATTTAGTCGCACGATAACGAGTTGTCTCTATAAAGACAGACACATAAGCAGTAGATTGTGTCCTTCCAGAGGAGGAAATCTACTTCTAGACTTCTGTGTCACCCCGAGCAGCAAGCGGTCGACAACATTCATCTCTGGAGGCGGGGTCTAACTCGGTGTTACGGTGGGTTTGACCCTAAATTAATTTTACAGCAGAATATCCCTTTAAAAAAAGACTGTAGAAAGGTCAGATTAACCCTCTTTACTTTACGGCCCTGTGTCTGTAGAGGCTGTCACTTCCTGGACTCTTTAGTCCATCAGTTCTGCTTCAGTGTGTCGAGGTTTTCAAAGAACCCTTAAATTAAAGGAGTCGGGGTTTAAGGATTTGTTCAGTTTTTTATTGTTGAATAATTCACATGTAAGGTTCAGACCTTCTGCCCTCAGCTGAGCGTTTCTCTCACTCTCTCAGGTCTGAGTTAAGAGTCTGATCCGAGTCCCTGTCCGGGTCTATCATGTGTGATCTAGTCTACAGTATCTCTGAGTCTGTGACATTGAAAGTTCTCAGCGTGTGTGTGTGGGTGTGTGTGTGTGTGTGTGTGTGTGTGTGTGTGTGTGCCTGTCAGACGCCCTCACCAGTCCTCCTGACTTCACTGTCATTTTAAATCAGGATTAGTTATGTAACCAGGATTTATCCTGCGCCTCTCAGCTACTCCCTCAAGATACCAGCAGATTGTCCTGTTAGACTGCTGCTCCCTCGCTCTCTCTCTCTCTCTCTCTCTCTCTCTCTCTCTGTCGGCCCCCCCGCCCCGTCGCTCTCTCAGACAGATCACACTCCTGAGGTGTTCCTTTGAGGCAGGTGGACATCTATGTAATAAGCGTCTATCCCTCAGTAACAGACACACATGGACACGGTCTGATCCAGGACTAGAAAGAGGGTCATGTGACCAAAAAAGGACAGATATCAGCTGATCAGCGTTTCCTTCAGTTTCTGTGTGTTTGACAGACAGTCGCTGACATGAGAGTCAATCAGGAGTCACCCTCCGAACATGAACGTGAGAGCTGAGCTTCATTTGTAAATCCGGGTTTATCTGTGAGGATTAGACGGATCTTTGAATACAGGGAGGAGGAGCAGGAGGAGAGGGAGGAGGAGAGGGAGGAGGAGAGGGAGGAGGAGCGGGAGGAGGAGCAGGAGGCGTCTAAACGCTGACACATGCCACCAGCTTCACTTTAAGACTCTGACAGCGGCTGGTTCAGGGTTAGAGTCACATCAGAGGAGGAACCAGATGACCTGACAGAGTCTCCCTAAATGACCACGACCTGTCAGGTGTGTGAGGTCAAAGGTCAGGTCACACGAGGAAGAAGAGCTAACCCAGGACCCCCACAGTGAAACAGAGAGAAGGAAAAACAGCAGTCCTCACCAATGAAACAGCGGCCCCTGGTGGCCATGAAGGAGAAGTTCACTCAGCTGCACCCAGTCTGGTTCTGTCTGTAAGGAGAGGTGTGTGTGTGTGTGTGTGTGTGTGTGTGTGTGTGTGTGTGTGTGTGTGTGTGTGTGTGTGTGTGTGTGTGGTGCCCTTCACTGTACCACATGACCTGATCACATGATACCCCCGATCTCCACCTTCATCCTGATCGTCTACTAAAAGGTCGTATCCTCCGATCGTAGCTGATCGTAACCATTCAGTTTCCACGGGGGGTTACCATGCCGACAGACTCAGCGGGGTCATTTAGGTTATATCCGGGGTCATATATTTAAAAACCTGAGATCACAGAGAGTCCGACTTTATTTAAACATCTTTATCAGGAAATAACCAAAGTAAAAAAAAGAAACTCCTTCGTTTTACTTTGACCTGCGTTGACCTCAGTGTTCGGCGCTCGGCTCCCTTTGAACCCCTCTTGACCTTTGACCTCCTTCCTGCTCATTTCGGTGTTCCTCATCCATCCAGTGGTTTTTGGTTGTAGTCAGAGTTGGTGGTGATCCATCTGTGAGTTGTAGTCACTCTGTCCTGTGTTGTGATCACTGGATTGGTGGATGTTGATTGGCTCACACAGCTGTGGTCATAACTGATGTGTGTGTGTGTGTGTGTGTGTGTGTGGGGGGTTATATTGGCCGATTGATTCCTAACAGACGCGTTTGTCTCCTTCTTGAGGGTCACAGACGAACCTGAGAGAATCAGCAGATCTCCGGTCACAAGGTGAGTGAACATCTATGTTTTAGTTCCTGCTCAGCTGAAAAACACCGATGGGACAATATCACTGTGTAAAACATTTAACTGTCCAGTCTCACTGTGTTTACCTTACAGTCCTGAATCAGCTGATTATCATGTTTGTCTGCAGAAACAGATTTAATGACCCGATATGTGGTTCTGATTCTGGTCGTCTTCATCTGGATCTGCAAACATCTGAACTAATGAAACCATGATTATAGGAGACCAGTTAAACATGAGGAGCAGATACAGAAAGGGAGAACACAGACCGGTTCTGGAGCCCTGTGTGGTTCTGGAGCCCTGTGTGGTTCTGGAGCACAGACCGGTTCTGGAGCCCTGTGTGGTTCTGGAGCCGTGTGAGACTGCTGAAGCCTGTAGTGTTAATGTTCTCACTGTCACTAAAGGTTCTGTGTACCCTCTCTCAGCCTCCACTGCTTCAGTCCACTCTCAGGTCCAGTCTCAGGTCCAGTCTCAGGTCCACTCTCAGGTCCACTCTCAGGTCCAGTCTCAGTCTCAGGGTAAAAGCAGCAGGTAAAGCTGATGTTAGTGAACAGTCGTGGTTCTAGATGTTGCTCCTTGAGTTAGATCACCCCTGTGGGTAGAAACCTCACCTTGTTGTGGTTCTGTCAGCATCGGGTCGGTCCTGGACCTCTTCACCTGTCCTCCCCTCACTAGTGGACTGATGCTCCAGACTTTGTGTGTCAGTAGGAAGAGTTAGACACCACAGAAAAAGGGGGTCAGAACTTTGAGATGGTTTTTCAACATCTGACCAAAGTCCATCCTGATACCCTGAGTCCGGTTAGATTAGTGTGTCCAGGTCCAGTTGAGTCGGGTTAGATTAGTGTGTCCAGGTCCAGTTGAGTCCGGTTAGATTAGTGTGTCCAGGTCCAGTTGAGTGTCCAGTGTGGAGTGTAGAACTTGTGTTGTTATCATTAGTCCGTCCCAAAGTTCAGTAGCTGTGAGTTTTTATCAAAATCAAAAATATATGAAACTAACTTTGTGTTTTCTCCTCCTTCTCCCCGACCTCCAAACGCTCACATTCATTCATTCATTCATTCATTCATTCATACAACTCCATCAACCTTCATCACACACACACACACACACACACACCTTCTATTTCAATGCAATTCAAATACAATCATTTATTCCCCATTATCCTCCTTCATTCCCCCTTTTATTCCACCTTTATATCCCTCTTCATTCACCTTTTTCTTCCCCTTTATTCCCCTTTTTATTCCCTTATTATTCCCTCTTTATTCCCCTTTGTTCCTCCTTTATTCCCTCCTTATTCCCTCTTCATTCACCTTTTTCTTCCCCTTTATTCCCCTTTTTATTCCCTTATTATTCCCTCTTTATTCCCCCTTTGTTCCTCCTTTATTCCCTCCTTATTCCCTCTTCACTCTCCTTTAATTCACCCTTATTCCTTCTTTTTTCCCCCTTTTTTCCTCCTTTATTCCCTCTTTATTCCCCCTTTGTTCCCTCTATATTCCCTCTTTATTCCCCCTTTGTTCCTCCTTTTTTCCTCCTTTATTCCCTCTTTATTCCCCCTTTGTTCCTCCTTTATTCCCTCTTTATTCCCTCTTTGCTCCTCCTTTATTCCCTCTTTATTCCCCTTCACTCTCCTTTATTCCTCCTTTATTCCCCCTTTGTCCCTCCTTTATTCCTCCTTTATTCCCTCTTTATTCCTCCTTTATTCCCCCTTTATTCCCCCTTCACTCTCCTTTATTCCGTCTTTATTTTCCTCTTTATTCCCCCTTTATTCCTCCTTTATTCCTCCTTTATTCCTCCTTTGTTCCCTCTTTATTCCCCCTTTATTCCTCCTTTATTCCTCCTTTATTCCGTCTTTATTTTCCTCTTTATTCCCCTTTTTTTCCATCCATTCTGAATCCGTGTCTTTACTGTTTCATTCTCAAACTCCACCCTTCACCTCCACCATCCCTTCCCCCTTTTTTTTTTCTAATGTCACGTGACTCCCCCCCCTCCCATCTTTGCACCTCCTCTGCCCCTCCCTCTCCCCTCTCTAGTCGCCATCTACCTGGGCATCAGAAAGCGGCCGAGCCCCGGACCCCCCGATGCGGCTGGGATGTGAGGGTGCGGAGCCCCCGCGACCCGGCCGAGGTGGTTCTGGCGCTGCGTGAGGCGGCTCAGGGCTGCGGGTGTCAGGTCCACCTGGCCGGACCCTTCCTCCTGTCTTGCACCCACGGAGCAGCCGGCGCTCGTGTCGCCTTCGAGGCCGAGGTCTGCCAGCTGCCCAGCGGGCTGGGCCAGAGCAGCGGTGTGAGGTTCAAGCGCCTGTGGGGGGCGCCCTTGGCCTTCAGAGACATTGCCACCAAAGTGTCCAAAGAGCTGGAGCTCTGAGGGCGCCAGGAGGCGGGGCAGAGCGACGACAGGAGGCGGGACAAGATGGTGACGGAGGAGGGCTGAGGAGGAACAAGGAAGCAGGAACCTTCGTCTCCTCCTCTTCCTCCCCGGGCTCCACCTCATCTGATGCGGCTAGCGTTGCCCCGCCTCCGCCAAAGACCCTCTTCTTCAGACGCCACCAATCAACACCGGACAGACCCACACCTGCAGACTTTAGTCCACCTGACACTGGAGCAGTCCGTGACCTTTAACCCCTGCATAGAAGCTTTGAACGGTGTGCGCCCACAGAGTCGTGGTCGTTCTGTTTCTTCTCCTCCATGTTGGATGATGATGATGATGATGATGGCGTTGTTGAGCGTGACGAAGACTGTTCTGATTTCTGATTTCCTTATTTGTGGTCATTCCTTCTTAAAGAGCTGCTATTTAAAACAAACTTTCATTTCTTTGTTTCTTTTTCTTTAAATCGTCTGTTTTTTTTCAGGGAGGCAGAAGTTTGACACGTTGTTATGAGTGAAGGTCGATGTGACCTCCGGCCTCTAGGGGGAGACATGCAGAAATGCAGCGACTGAACGGAGCAGCATGGTCTTTGTGACCTTTGACCTCACTGTGATTAGGGGTCTCTGAGTATTTTACTGTTGACTGAAAGTTTTCAGGCGAGCTGCTGTCAGACCAGAGAAGCTGCCCGACCATCAGAACCACCAGAACCATCAGAACCATCAGAACCGTCAGAACCATCAGAACCAGAACACTTTATTTATTATTCCCAGTTCCAGAGATTCAGCCTCTTGTTGTTTTTGTTTCTTAAAATCACTTTTTATTTGAAACTGTCTCGACTTCCTGAGAGCGGTCGGACCGTTGAGGAGCAGGTCTGATTCTGACCGTTAACTCGCCGCGCTCCTCCTCCATCACGCCGCTGTGTCATCACAACGCATGTACTGTCTGAAGAGACGCTCGGAGGTGAGAATGTGACTCCACGGGACTTTGAGTCCACCGACACTCCAGAACCCAAATGTTCTTGTGACCGTGTCCGCTGATATAATCGGAGCTTCAACCAACAGACGGCTGAGATGTTGAGGAGAAGGTTCAGCAGGTCTGAGATCTTTCCGGGTCTGAGGAGTTCCCCTCTGAAACCTGAAGCTGTGATTTAGGACTCTGACTGACTCGGACCCGGTCCTGTAGACCCAGTTAGAACCAGGCGCTCAGTTCTGATGTAAAGTGTGTTTCATGAATCTAACTTATGGGCTGAAACGATAAACGAGCTGCAATCCTGCATGTCTCCTAGGAAATCATGTGTGACTCAAAAATAAAGACTTCAACCTCGTTCGTAGTTCCTGTCTTTGTGTTTCTGTCTAAAATAAAAACACACAAACAAACACACACAAACACACACCAGAGCGGGTCGGATTGTTACATGGGGCAAAATTTAATTATCCAGTTTATATTACAACCAAAAAAACGTGTTTTTGGTGCACGTCCATAGCCGTGAGCAGACTAGGCTCGGATTGATCCCAGGATGTTACAGAGATGATGATGATGATGATGATGATGGTGGGAGGAGCGATGGTTAAAGTGAAAGAGGGGGCGGGGTTAAAGCAGGAGAAGAAAAGATGGTGGAGTAAGAAAGTGAGCAGGAAGTAGCCGTAAAATAACTTTACACCAAGGCCACCCGTTCATTTTTTTGACCATATAAAAAAACAAACACAGACAGTCACTCAGTCGCCGCTCGTCTGTCCGCTTTACTTCTGGGCGGGGATCATGCCGTCGATGGACTCGCCCTTCTCCAGCTTCTTCTCCATCTCAACCATCAGCTTGACACCATCAACCACCAGCTGGACCTGATCCACCTCGGAGGAGCCCAGACGGTCAGCGTTGGAGATGTCGAACACGCCACCCACGGAGGCGGTGTCCACACCACCTGAGGAGGAGAAAAGGAGGAGGAGACGATTTAGACCTCTGAATTTATCTCCAGAGAAAAAACCAAAGTGACGGTCCCGAAGGTTAAACCAGATCCTCCTTCAGAGTCCACCTCAGACCTCAGACCTTCACATGGAGACTTACTGGATTAAAAACGTCAGAAACTTTAAACTTCCTGTTTGATCAAACCCTCAGTTCGTTTACAGTCTCAGTTTAATCGACTAAACTCAGAATTCGTCTTCTCCTCCAGCTGTCCTCGGTCTAAAATCACGACATCCTCTGAAACATCGGCGTACCTGTGCCACGCTTCTGCAGACGCAGCCTGGTCAGGATCTCCTCAAACTTGGCGTGTGTGCTGAGCTTGGGCAGCTTGACGTGCACGCCACCGCGCAGGCCGGTTCCCAGGTTGGAGGGGCAGGTCAGGACGTAGCCCAGATGCTCGTTCCACATGAAGCCGTGGTTGTGCTTCTTGAAGATCTCCTCGATCTGAGCAGAGAGGAGGACAAAGAGATCGGAGGTCAGAACCAAACGACAAACAGGAGGAGAAGACCTGAGTCCAGTTCAGGTTCTCATCGAGGTGACCAGGTGACTCAGAACTTATCAGTCTGGGGGTTTTACCTTCTGCAGGCCAACGCAGAAGCGTCTGAAGACCTCCTTCATGTTGCCTCCCTTCTGCATGGAGATGACACGCAGATGATCCTCCTCGTTCACCCAGACAAGGAAGGTCTTGTTGTCGTTGTGCCTGAAAAAGAGATCCAGTCAGGATCAGAGGATCGGTCTACAAAGACTGTCGGTAAAAGCGTCTCGTCTATCAGCTGACGGACAGAACACGGAGGAACTCTCACCAGATGCCTCTGGCGTCGGGCCAGTCACGGGCCATACCGGCGCAGGTCAGCAGGGGGGACACGGGCTTGTCGAAGAGGAAGTGATCAGCGATCAGCTGCTCCTGCTCGGCGTCGGTCATGCCCTCCAGGGGGTAGTACTTTCCCTTGAACTCACCGTCCAGGCTGGCCAGGGCTGTGGGGGTCAGAGAGGGGAGGAGTCAGTGTCTGATTGGTCCGTCACCCAAAGTCTCACAAACACGTGAACATTATTGGACTCTCACCCTCGATGGACAGCTTCTCGATGCCTCTGCGCTCTCCACGGCTGTTGTGGGGGGGCAGGGTGAATCCCTTGATGCTGCGGCCGGTACGGACGCGGCTGGACAGGACGTAGTTGGGGTCCAGGTCATCACCACCCTGGAGGACGGAGCAGACGCACATTTATCACATGGTCATGGGGGGGCGTGTTAGCTGGTCTACGAGTTCTCATGGTGGACTCTGTCTCACCTTCAGGTTCTCGAAGTTCAGGTCGGTCTTGTGCTTGTCGGTGGGTTTGTATCCACCATGACGGTCAGAGATGACGGGGTCCAGCAGATCCTTGAAGACCTCGTAGGACTCCTCATCACCAGCAACGCAGCCGACAGTCATGATGAAGGGGTGACCTTTGAGATGAGAGGATGAGAGAGTCGGTCAGTGTTTGGTTGATGGTTTGTGTTTGTGTCTGTGATGTCACTTCCTCCTTCTTACCGGGGTTGTCAACACCAGTCTGGATGACGTCATCCACGGTGAAACCGCTGGGGGTGGACTTTCCCCTCAGCTTGCCGTAGATCTCCTTGGTCAGCACCTGGAGGTGTACAGGAGTGTGTGAAGGTCAGTGTTTGTACAGACGTGTGTGTGTGTGTGTGTGTGTGTGTGTGTGTGTGTGTGTGTGTGTGTGTGACCCATAGACTGTTTTTGCTCTGGACAACTTGGCCCCGCCTCCCGCCAGTTTACGGATCTGAACCTGAAAAGTTTTCTGTAATTCCACATTTTTTCTCCACTTCCTGAAACCAACATTGTTCAGTAACGTTGTTCACATCCAGCAGGAGAGTCTCTGTGATGACGCTCGGCTCAAACAGCGTATCCCCCGGTGATCTACTCAATCTCTGTCCTCCCATAGGCTGTATCAGGTGTCAATCATAGCAAACATGAACCCCCTAATAACTTTTAAAAATGGAGCTGTACAGAAAAAAGAGGACTTGAGCACAAACCAGTCTGACAGTAACTACATGTCAACATCACAACCAGGGGGAGAAACATTTATATTCTGTGTCATTCATTTATAAAGTTTGTCCACAGCTCCATAAGGAGGCGGGGTTTAGGACCTATACTGCAGCCTGTCACCAGAGGGCGCTGTTCTCTGAGAGAGGAGGCAGATGGCGTCTATGTAGTGAACACACACACACACACACACACACACACAGTAGTCTGTGTGTGTGTGTGTGTGTGTGTGTGTGTGTGTGTGTGCTCGTACCTTGGCCATGTGGTTGTTGTGCAGAGAGAGATCGGGGAACTCATCATCCACGGAGAACTTCATCTTCCAGTCATTGTGGCAATTCTTGTAGCTCGCCATGGCTGCGACTTTGGCTCCGCCTTAAAGGAGAAAAAACAGGATGATCCGACATGTTTGAAAACCTCGTTAGGAAGAAGGAGGAAAGTTTGGAGATTTTTTCATTATTAAGTTTTTTAAAAAATGACTTTGAGGAAGTTTCTTTAACGCGGCGATTTAACGAAGTGACCTGGACCTGGTCTGACAAGTACCGGTTTTCTCTGCTGGACTCTCTCCGAGTCTTTGGAGGGTCCGGTCTATGAGTCCACGAGCGAAGAGGAGGAACCTCCTCATTTTAACGTCGTAGACTCCCTACCTCTCTCTCTCTCTCTCTCTCTCTCTCTCTCTCAGCTGTCCTCCTGCGGGTCGGCCCCCCCCCCCCCCAGCACAGATTATTAATAGCGCCCCCCCCCCCCCCCTCAGACTTGGTGCAGCTGCAGAGTTTCTCTAAAGTCTCTGAGGACCTAAAGGAGGACGCTCAGATCTTCACCGGTCCATGAGTGTAAACCTGTGACTACGTTTGACCTTTAACTCAGAGGTCAGGCTCCTCCCCCTCAGCAGCTGAAGGTCACGGCTCTGCGTGCCTCGTGGACGGCTCTATATGTTCCATGAACTAAATCAAGCGAGGCCAAACTATTCAGAGACCAACATCAGCAACAGCTGACTGATGGTCTCAGCTGTGGAGGTGACACCACGCTGCCCTGAAACCAGACCCGGGACAGTTTCTCTGACTGACCCGGCTCTCGTAGTTTCCAAACCAGGACAAAAAAAAAAATCAACGTTTTAGAAAAATCCAAGAAAAAAAAAAAAAACAAGAAGAGAAAAAAGTTTTTTCAATTCCACAAACGAAGAATGTGCCGGACGAACATGTTTATAAATCTGTCCCTAAAGTGTTTGGGTCCATGCTCCTAAAGAAGACCGTCCCTATAGAGACTAAACCGGGTCTGGGGTTTTACCTGGTCAGGAGAAAGAAAGGGTAACAGATCCTGGGATCAGATCCTGTCCACCAAATAAAGGGGTTGCCCAACTCTGCCAGCTGATGGGCTTAAGCCTTTATACCCAGACCTCTGTCCCTATTGGCTGACCGCAGTCGGGGTCCCCTGTTCTGATTGGTCACGGGGGGTCTTCTGTGCCCCAGTGAGTTTCTAAAAGGCAAGAACCGACTTCACACAACACTCGAGACGAGAGACGGGGCAACAGCTGCAGCCACGCCGTCCAACCTTTCACCTCCTGCCAGCTCGCTCTCAGCCGCCCGCAGCCATGACTGCTGCTGCTGCTGGACATAATGTGCCTTTACATTAAACACACACACACACACACACACACACACACGCACACACACACGGTGTTCAATAACACTTACAGTAACACAGAGTTAACTCCAGACCGTGCAGAGGAGTTCACTAATGAAATGACTGTTAATAAAAGTCTGAATGAAACAGTTACTAAATGAACATCTGAGAGTTTCGACACTTTGATTCTTGTGTGAAATATTCCGGGAGAGTCTGAGACTTTTTCACTTTTGTCCTTTTTAATCCTGAAGGATGAAATAATAATAATCATCATCATCATCGATTAAAATCAAACACCTGATGTCAAATAAAATCAGAAACATGCAGGTTCTCATCGTCGACTGTAAACTGCTGTTTTAGTCTCTTTGGTCCTGATGACTGCGGGAGGAGGAGCTCAGATTACAGGTCAGATTACAGCTCAGATTACAGGTCAGATTACAGGTCTGAGTTTGTGATAGTGAACCTCTGTACGTTTTAACGTCTTTCTCCTGAAGTTGTTTAAACGTCTACGTTCAGTCTGTTTCTCAGGAGCTTCATGCTCATGATGATCTAGATTCCTCTGCGTCTGTGCTCACAGGGAGAGATCTTGTACATATTGTGATGTCTGTAAAAGCTCGGAGTCAGTCTCTGTTCTGTGCCAACGTCATTACCCCTCACCCGTAATGTGATCGACTCCAGTAATCCAACCGCCGACAGATATTAAATCACACCCACATCATGTGACAGAGTACAAACCGCAGGGTGGAGCTCAGAGACGCCGTGACGCAGACTGGGCGATTAAATAAGATCCAGGTAACCCCCCAAAAACACAGGAGTCAAATATTAAGACTGTAAGTATTTCACAACAACTTTCTGCTTTAATATAAAACATAATTATGAAGATTTAAATCTTCGTTTTCAAACACAAAGATACCAGGATGTGCTGATGATCCGGTTCTCTGTCTGCTGTCTCTCATTTCAACACTGAACCGCTGTCTTCACAGAGTGGGGGTGCACACAGATACTCTCCATCAGATAACCTGGTCTCTTAACCCCCCCCACATGTCACTCTGTGTGTTACCCACTCACTGTGAACTTTGTCACATGAACGAGAACACACGAACCCAAAACGTGGTTCTGTGTCCTGTTCACCAGTATGTTCTGTCGCTCGTATGTGGCTCAGATCCAGTATCCCAGTTTAGACCGTCACTCTATCCTGTGCTACTCCCTTCACACACACACACACACACACACACACACACACACAGCCCCAGAACCCTGTAGCTACCCTGAGGAACCCGGCACCAAGGACAGTTATGTAACGGAGAACTGTGTGTGAAACATCTATAATGGTTATATCTATGAGTGTGCACTAAAGCAGATCGTTTTCCTGAATGACTGAGGCTGATTGGAAAATCACCTGTGCCAGGATATGTAAGAGGTCAGAGGTCAGGGCGGCAGGATGAGGGGTACCAGGGTTTGGACTGGTGGGTCACTAAAAATTCTGATCGGACTGAAAGTCTAAAATCTGCAGCATCATGTTCTCCAGTATAGAGTCAGGGTTGGTCGTGTGTTTGTGGTTTTGGATCGGAGCGGTTCTGTACCGTGGTCACACTTTGGGTCACACGGCTGGAGCGTCTGGGACATGTCTGTGTGAACCTCGTTGGAGCTGGCCTCCCGCCTGATCACATCTTCTTATTCACAGGAACAACCCGGGGGAGCGGAGCGGGGTTACAGGCATTCACACGTTCACACATGGTGTCGCCAGGAACAACTGGCTGTCTAATCCAATAACTCACACGTTCACATCGAAGCTCCGCTCTGAACACGGCGAGTTTACAGAAAAATACAAACAGGAAGGTTTTAACGTGAACTGGAGGGACCGAGGATCTGCTCCTCAACGGGAAGTTCTCCTGCTGTTTGTTCATCTAAAGAACTCAAAGGGTTAAAGTTTATCTGATTAAAACTAAGTTTACACTGAGATCATGCAGACCTCTCTCTCTCTCTCTCTCTCTCTCTCTCTCTCTCCCTCTCTCTCTCCCTCTCTCTCTCTCTCTCTCTCTCTCTCTCTCTCTCTCTCTCTCTCTCTCTCTCTCTCTCTCTCTCTCTCTCTCTCTCTCTCTCTCTCTCTCTCTCTCTCTCTCTCTCTCTCTCTCTCTCTCTCTCTCTCTCTCTCTCTCTCTCTCTCTCTCTCTCTCTCTCTCTCTCTCTCTCTCTCTCTCTCTCTCTCTCTCTCTCTCTCTCTCTCTCTCTCTCCTCTCTCTCTCTCTCCCTCTCTCTCTCTCTCTCCCTCTCTCTCTCTCTCTCTCTCTCTCTCTCTCTCTCTCTCTCTCTCTCTCTCTCTCTCTCTCTCTCTCTCTCTCCTCTCTCTCTCTCTCTCCCTCTCTCTCTCTCTCTCTCTCTCTCTCTCTCTCTCTCTCTCTCTCTCTCTCTCTCTCTCTCTCTCTCTCTCTTTGGATTCTCCAGATTTGTCCTGACAGTCTGTTTCAGAGTGAGAAAAAACTCCCGTGAACAGTTGGAGGTTACCCACAAATAGACGCAGGAATCTGTAAGCTGACTCTGTCAGTGTACGTATGTGAAGTCTGTCACACAGCGATCGGACCTGCAGCTACATGAGAGGGAGTGAAAGTGTTTGAGTCAATGAGGGTTCGAGGTTAAATCCACTCTTTTAAAACCTCACATTAATTATTCCCAGTTTTACAGACGAAACAACAAACTGCTGGATGAACTTTAGAGTTTCCAGTCTGGGTCAGTCTGTAGACTCCAGTAAAGGAGTTCACTGTGAAGACGTCGGTGTCTGCTCTGATCAGCTGTTTTCTGTTCAGGTTTGTGAAGAACAGAAGAAAAAAAAAACGGCCATCCTCTTTATCTTCAAATCGAACTGTGGAGAGTTTCTCCGACTGTGTGGAGCTCCTCACCTTCTCATCATGAACCTCAACATGTTCTCCTACAGACCTGAGAAACCTTTAAAACATGAACAGTGTCTGAGTCTCGTTATGAGGAGATGACAGGGTGAACAGCTCAGTTTTATGCTGTCACATTGGTGAGATAGACGGGATGTGTGTGTGTGTGTGTGTGTGTGTGTGTGTGTGTGTGTGTGTGTGTGTGTGTGTGTGTGTGTGTGTGTGTGTGTTTGGCTGCTGAAACACTCTCAGCATTGATTAGTCAGTTTGCTGAGTCGAGCAGCAGACGGACTCTTGGGTTATGTAACTCATTAATCAAACTTTGGGTGGCGGTGGCGGTGGCGGTGGCGGTGGCGTGTTCTTCCTGAAACATGAACTTCCTGTGTAACCCGTGAATGGGGGTGGGGGGGCTGAACTGCAGCTTTCTATCTTTAGGTCGTCCCATCTCCAATACCAGCCCTCCCGATTGAATTGCATTGACTCAGCGATCAGTCTGTCCATCCCTCCATCTTTTCATCCATTCATCTGTTCAACTTTCCCCGACCCCGTCGACTGGACTTTGGTGAACACATGAAAACAAGACTGTAGACGATGGTGTGAGATCAAAACTGAGAACAGCCTCCATTATTTGATCATGGCTGTGACTTCATGATCATCTCCTCGATGTCTCGTATCTGCACCACGGTCACATGACCTTCAGAGAGATCCTGCTCGGCTCTAACTGGACGGTCCGTGAAGATCACATCCATCCTGTTTGTTTGATTTTTGGTGGTCTGTCCGTGACACTGAGGGTAATGTCTGAGTGAAGGTCTTCATGTTCACTGGGACTGAAGGATGTTTATATGTTTATTAAGTTATATGTTTATAGATAGTTTTAGTTTCTATCCTAGAATTTAATTCAAACTTCTGACAAAAGTGATGAGATTTACATCCTGAGGTCCAGTACTGACTCGACGGTGACATTATCATTTCCATTTGGATCCATTATACTCAGCTGTAAGGAGAGAACTGTATGAACTCTGACTGAATCAACCAGCCAGGAGTTTCTTTATTTATTCACTTTTTATTTCACATTGAAATTAAACTTTAAGCTTAAACCTTTATGAGTTATAACACCTGA